CTTTTCCGCCATTATGCGCAATAGCTCACTTTTCTTATTCTATCGTGAAACCCACCGGTTAAAACCGGTTTTAACCAAAGTGAAAAACCCATATTGAAATCCACAAACGGATTTTATTACTTTTAGTTTACTGTTCACTATAATTAAAGCCTAAGAAAATGTAAATAAAAGTAATATGATAGTAAATCACAGAAAACAAAAGTTGTTTGTTTATATTATTTATATTTAATACTTAATTTCTCTATAAGGATGACATTTTTTTATGTTATATGTATATTTGTATAATATATAAGATAAAAATGTTATAGAATATATAAAATATATACAAAAATAAAAATATTTTTGTTAAAATACTTAAAAATGTTTATTTATTTACGTATCTGTAAATATTAATGAGCTTGTCAACTTTTTCTTAAGCTCATGAATTTTTTAACTTACTCCAAACATGACCAAATATAGAGAAAATTCTCTCTATAGTTGTTAATGTAGCTGGGCAACTAAAGAGATTTGCCATAAAAATGCAAAATTCTTTTTTAAGGCCGTTATCATTATCTATTTTATTGCCTCCCTGGTGAAAAAATTTCGCTGAAATTATTCTACTTTTTTTGGAACATTTCAGCGAAATAGTTGAAAATTTGCTGAAATTTCTCTGAAATTTTTACTGAAATTTGTCTGAGATGTTGCTAAAATTTTGCTGAAAATGAATTTTTCAATTAAAAATCGCTGAAATTAAACTGAAATTTTTCTAAAATGCTGAAATTTTGCTGAAAAATGTTTCAAAACGTAAAATAATTTCAGCGAAATTTTTCCATCAGGAATATATTAGTTAAAACATCCATCCATTTCACTGTACAAACTACAGAGCTATATTTAAATATTTTTTTCTGCCAAATTCTTTGTAATTTTGATTGTGATTGGTCGATTGTTTGCGACCATATGATTACGACTAAAATTTTGTACGTGTGATGGCCTTTACTACGTGATTGTAGACGGGCCATAAAATTGCCGAATACGTCCGATGATGACCGAACGGTTCCGAAACAACACGACAAGCTGCAAAGTACGTCGGGAAGTAACGCACTCCGATGGCGGAACATGGCGGAATAATCTCGCTTCACTTTGTGGAGTATTTGTTTGTACGACCGTGTTAAGAATTGTTCGTAATGTGCGGACGAGCAGGTCCAAACTGAACCAAGTCATCGTGGACGTTGAAAGTTTAAGGTTAGTGAAGCTTCCTCGTCGCTAATAATCGAAGTACCGCTCTAAACCTACATCTCTTTGCTTGACCTTAAATGAAAGAATAAGGTATTCTTGTTATGTCTGTGTACTTTAAACGCCGCTACATATGTTAATGTTGTCAATAATTACTCGTTGCCTTTAAATAAACGTCATTCGCGTAACAATTACGTGTAACAAAATTTTGGAATAACTTTCATACATTTGAATGAGATTAGGAGCATGTTGCAAAATTAGAGTAGCAAAGTTTATAACGAATACAAAATAAACTTTTATGTTAAAAGTGATATAATAATAATACAGGTTTAGGTATAAATTTTCTATAAAGGTTATAATATTGTCGATAAATCTAAAATCAATGTTTATACTTTATATTAATGTGAAAAGCAATGTGTTAATTAAATGTAATATACATATTGGTAAATGTTTATGATTTTAGGTTCGTAGTAAAAGCGACCAAAGCTCAACGCGCCCATCAGGCCCATTAAAAGCTCTCTGTCCCTGCGCCTAAAGCCCTTGAGTGGCTCACGAGCTGGGCGTTGGGCCAGGCCGTGCATCGCCAGACCGGTGAGTTCCCACACAAAATATCGCTTGGTAGCACGGCGGGCACTCAAAGCCAACTAACCATGTCTGTACAAAGTGTTGCTCTGGCATCTCTCACGGCCACCTATACCGACTCGGAGGGCGAGGACGGGGTGGAAGACGAGCGCCTGCAGGAGGAGAATTCGAACACTCCCCAGGGGGCCGCCCCGCATAATGCCCAAGTCGGTCGTCAGCCCCAGGCCCGATCTGGCACCAGTCCCATATCTGGAGGCCGTTCAGCCTCGCATAGTCCCGCCGTCGGCAAGTCCGCGGGTAGTAGCGACTTGCCGGAAACGGCTACAAAGGTGCAGCGATTGGTCTCTTATTTTGACGATGCGGTAGTCTCCGACGATGAGGGGGCGGCCGTTGCTGTGTTGCTACCGTCGCTGCCGCCGGTGCCGTCGTCATCATCGTTGATGACGGTGGGCACAGCGATTGCCGCGACGGTTGCAGAACGCCCCGAGGAGAATGGTCTCCCGGTCGCGGGTACTGGCAACATCGCCGCTACCACCGTCACCGCTGCTGCCGTCGTCGTTGTCGGCGGTGGCGCTGAGCGTCGGTCGCCCTCCTCGCGTTCCGGAGAATTGCTTTCAGATAATAACGGTGAGGCAGGGGACTCTTATGGTGTGACGATACCACCGGAACCACCGGGTCAATGTCCCGCTGAGCTGCAGGACAAGATTGCGAGGCTCTATAGGAAAATGGAGAGCGGCGGGTTGGACATGAACATGATGATTCAACAGCGCAAGGAATTCCGGAATCCCTCCATTTACGAAAAACTCATTCAGTTTTGTAGCATCAACGAGCTGGGCACCAACTACCCACCGGACAGGTTCGACCCATTCAAGTGGAGCAAGGACTCGTATTACGAGGAACTTGCTCTAGTGCAGAAGGCGGAGATGGATAAGCTCGAGAAGGCGCGCAAAGAGAAGACGAAGATCGAGATTGTATCCGGTACGGCTAAGCGACCCAATAGCTCATCAAGCAGCGCCGAGAGTGCCGACGCCAAAAAACGGAAAAGTAAGTGGGACCAAGTGGCGACGGGTGGTGCAGCTGCCGCTGTCGCTGTCGCGGAAAAAAAAACCGCCAAACCCACGGTACTTCTCACACAACCCACCTTGAACCTGACATCATCCAGTAGCAACACCAAATCTACCATTTTATCGGCCTTCGGCTCCCTGCCGAAGAAAAGATTGTAACATATTGTGTAAATGTGTGCTGTGTAAATAATGTCCAATTTCCTTTAGACAGCCATGAAGCTGCACAAAGGAAAGCGCAGTCCTGTGCGTCTCTGGAGACTTAAGTCCTTGGATGGTTATTGAAATGTTTTTCCAACACGACTTTCAGAATCATTAAATCAGTATCAGTAAATACAGAATCAATAACGATAGGAGTATGGAAATATAAGAGCAAAAAGCGTTCTTATCATAGCATAATCATCAATTGGAATGTTTGGGCTAAAAAGTCAAGAATTGAAAAAGATTCACAAAATTTATAGATCTGTAGAAATTTAAGAATTTTGTGAATTAAAAAATTCAAATATTGAAGAATTATAAGATTGGATCTGTAGACAAATTCTAGGGATAATATCAACTTAAAACATTTCTTTACAATAGTACAGACTATAAGGAAGAAAAGATCTAGAACCCTGGAAATTTGTACATGCATAACTCCATGAATCTTTATAGAAATTTTAATGGATCTAAACATATAAAAATTATATAAAGATTTTTGTATTAAAGAAAATCTAAAATAATTAAGAGAAAATGTAATTGTTTTTAGCATTTGAAGAATACAAAAGTCCAAAGTTCTATGAGTTTAACCGACCTAAAAATCCAAGGATTTAAGAATCCAAGAATTTAGCCATCTGCAAAATAAACATACTGTAAATAATACTGTTTGCAAATTCCATTGTCTGGATGTGAAAGGAAGAAAAATATTCTGAAGATTTACATTCTTGAATTTTTAGATTTTTGTATTTTTAAATCCTTGTAAGTCGACACCTGTAGCCTGTGGGTCTTTAGATCTGTGTACCCAAATCTTTAAATTATAAGAGGCTTATTGAAAAAGCTTGAGCGCTTATCAAGATAAGATCGTAGGAAGTGAAAAGTTGAAAGAAATGATAAGTTACAATCAAATTCAATAATTGTAAATCCAATAATCTGAGAAATCAAGGACCTAAAAACTCAATTGTGCTCATATATCTAAAAATAAAAGACCCAACAATCGTAGATTAAAACATATATTGAAAATAATATTAATTAAAAAATGATTTTACATGTAACAGATACAGTCAAAGTAACACAGCAGCGTCTACAAAATGCTAAAAAGACGTTTATATGCGCTTTTTTAACGCTTTATTAACATTTTGTAGGCACTGCATGCTATTTGGGAGATATATAGGAGAACAATATTGAAGCTTTGTGAATTTAGATCCTTGAATTGTCGTCCTTTCGAAATTTCTTTTTAATGTATAGAAAAATTTTGTAAAAAAAATATGGAGCATAATAATATGGAATTTAAAAAGATCAACTAATAAGCAAATGGTGAGTATCAGGTAGCGACTATAAATGCGTTATTGCGTACGATTGATTTATGGAGGTAAAGTAGACGCGTAATTAATTATTAAGTCTCGGCGCGCGATGAGACAGATAGAGAATTTATGTATGTTAACAATCACAAAATCGATGTAAAATGAGCTGTAAGTTTTTAGCGACGATTCAGTTTTTTTATATGAAAAAAGTAATGAAATTCTTCCACGAAAAGACTTTGTATATACACGCTCATGTGTCAATAGAGTATGGAATATACAATATATAAATTATACATTGTATATCGTCGTTGATTAATTGATTAATAATACCATGATGATGTTTCTTATAATAAATTATTATTTTTTTCGTCGTTCTCACGCGAGAAAGAATTTCATTTAAATTTGCGATAATTTTTCGACAATTATATAAATATGTAACATACATATATATATATATATGATATTTAATAGTATGTTACGTTTTTGAAAAGTTATTTTTTTGTGACAATCGACTTTTATCAAATGATTTAATAATTGTATATTAATTATTATGTATATATATATATATTATTTATATGTAATTATTATTAAATATTTATATTACGTATTTATATAATTATGTGCCTTTTTAATTAATTTTCTCTTTAATCGTTATATTTTTTAAATAATGAATCACTTTCGCGATTTTTGCGCGTTTTAAAATTTAAAGGAGGAATCTCGGTACCTTTCTTGTCCAAAACGGAATTCGATGGCCAATCGAGAGTCTGCATTTTAGGGACTCCGGTTGGTAGCACTTTTTTTCTTGGGAAGTGAATGAAAGAGGTTAAGAGGATCGAGTAGGGATCTTCTTCTTCTTCGCGGCTGCACTGACGCCATTCTCATCTCGACTAGCTTTGCCTATCTTCACGTACTTAAATAGGTTATCTGACGTATGTCAAGCTTCTTGTCATCGAAATTTATTATTTAATCTGAGTGAGCAGGAGTCGCGTCTCGCGACGTTTTCAGGAACAACCTGTCCACGCGCACGGAATCAATCGACGAATCTGCCGAACATGCGGTGGTAGTTATGCGCTTAAAGGGGAAAAATAACATTAAATCGTTTTACAGGGTGCTTTCTCGTTTATGTCGTAAGTATCTCGCAAAACGATCCTTGGATAATTAAACCGTCTGGTTGAATTATTAGAAGAATTTATTGATTATACATATATTAAATTATAAAATGTCTTAATTATTTTCTTTTAACCAAAGTCTTGGAAGTATTAAAAAGATTGAGTTACTTAATTTTTTTTAAATATATGTATTTAGGTTTTAATAAAACCTTGAACGATCAAGCCTACAGTTCTTTACATTTTTATGTATTATACACAGTATATTTGTATATCTGAAAATAATGTCTTAACTTTTTATTGAGTTATGATATTTATATTCTTAGAATAATTAAGACAAAACTGTTTGGAAATGTTTCTAGTATTGAAGCTTGTATTAAATCTATAATTATACATATTTTTGCTAATACGTAATTTTTTATGTTATTCTATAATATATTTCTCAGAAAATAAAAAATCATTCACATAATATAAAATCCTTGGATCAAATTAAAAACATAACGTTTATATATATAAACCAAAGTAATAAAGTATAATGTTTGTATATTAAATTGTTATATTAATAAATTTTTTTAATTCATTAAGATTATTGGAACCTCTGATCCTTATATTGTTTTATTTTTTTACATGTATAGCAAATATTTTGAATTTTATGTTCTTAATATTGTATCAAAGAGCAAGCTTATTGTAGTATTTGCCAAAACGCTATGTTATTGTCTATGCAAATTGGCATTATTTTTCTCATATTAAATTTTCTGTAGGATTTGTGGATAAAGGACATCTGGATGGTTTCATGGCGGATGGCATGGCACCAGCCTTGAAAAATGGCCACAATTCTGACATGGATTTTGCTAATCAATCGGTGAAGCAGTCGTCCGACGTGTCCAGCGTCGTTTATGCAGTTGGTCACTATCCTCCAAAGCTTTTACACAATCTCAATGTACAGAGGCGGGAGAATAAGTTCAGCGACGTGGGACTGGTGGCGGGTGATAGAATCATCAGAGCACACAGATCAGTGTTGGCCGCTGGTAGCGCCTACTTCAATGCCATGTTCACTGTCGGCCTGGTTGAGGAGCAACAGGAGCTCGTAGAGATCCACTCAATCTCTCCTCACATTCTCTCTCAGTTGGTGGACTTCATCTATAGTGGCAATGTAGACATTACGCAGGATAATGTACAGGAGTTATTTGCTGCTGCTGACATGTTAGAATTAGATGATGTAGTAGCTGGCTGTATCAATTATCTTAAACAGCAGCTACACTATTCTAATGCCCTTGGAATTTACAGGTGAGAAGACTATAATTGTAAGAACTGAAATTGAAATATATTCTGAAAACAGATGAAAAGAAGATCCAATAAAAAGTCAATGCGACAGGAAAATTACAGAAAAATTATATGATGATATTTATCATTGCTATTAATTGCAGATTTGCAGAAGTACATAACAGACTGGATCTTTTGGAAACTGCCCTACGCTTTATAGAAGCCAATTTTCCTCAAATCTGTCAGGAGGAGGAATTTCTGGACTTGCCCAAAGAACATCTTGTTCAGTTTCTTAGTAGCGATTACATTCACATTGATACTGAATGTCAGGTTTGTTATTTCTAGAGGATTAAATAATCAGAGTGTATAATTGCAACTTTACATATTCGAAAAATATATTACATTTGACACATAAAATATGACCAACATATGTTTTACTTTTTACAGGTCTTCCAGGCCGCGTACAATTGGATCGTTCACGACATCCCCGCGCGGAGATGCTACGTATTCGAGATCCTCAGCCACGTACGCTTGCGACTGTGTTCATTAGCAAGGCTAGATCGTATTATTCTAGACTGCAAGGACGCGAGTCTCATCGTCGCGCTGCGATCTATACAAACGGATCTAGTCTCGAACAAAGGTTGCCTAGTGCCTCTTCATGCCCAGCCTCGGATCTGTGCCAGGAAGAACATTCTGGTAATCGGCGGATCCAAGCGGGAGCATTCTGCGGATAGCTGGGGCCGAACCGCTGAGAGTACTTACGAAAGCATCGAGAAATATGACATATTCACTGGGTACAATCTTCTGCAACATTTTTCTTTTTACAATTCTTGGTTGTTAAAATGAAATACAATAAGTTTTTAGTTACTTGAATTAAACCTTCCAGAACAAAAAGTTTGATTTAAGCATTGTTCTTGCTCTTTTTCAATAAGGTTTTCATATATTTCGTTTCTTTTTTTAGGGATGCATCGGATCGTACAATTATCGGATATCCGGAAAGGCAATTTTTCGAGTCGGATATCTGATATTTTCCGGACGTTTTTTTCTTTTAAACATTGTCTCGGAATCCGACTGGATACTTCGGATATCCGGTGCATTCCTACTTTTTTTTTATTTGCGCAAACTTTTACGTCTTATATCAAAGAGTTTTTCTGTTAATAATCTTTTTCTTATTATTGTTTTGTTAGATAACTAGAACAAAATCTGATTTTATTTAATAAATGAATATTTCTTTAGAGAATGGAGCGAAGTAGCTCCAATCAGCATAGGACGTATTCTACCTGGAGTAGCTCTATTAGACGGCAAAGTATATGTTATCGGTGGTGAGTTGGAATCTTGCATTATCGCCAACTGCGAATGCTACGATCCTCGTGACAACGTGTGGACTCCCATCGCTTGTATGGAAGAACCTAGATGCGATTTCGGTCTTTGTGCCTTGGATAACAGTTTGTATGCGTTCGGCGGATGGGTAGGCGAAGATATCGGCGGCTCCATCGAGACATATGACCCCATCAGCAACACGTGGACTCTCGAAGGCTATCTTCCGGAGCCACGGTTTAGTATGGGTGTCGTAGCATACGAAGGTAATTCCAAATCTAAATCCAATATCATAATTGATTATGATAGTTGCATGACAGTTAAATTTATCAACATCTTTTCTTTTATTTAACGGCAGTAAAAACTTTTATTGAAAATTTATATTGTAACATTGTAACTTTTACAAATTTTCTCTATAGGATTAATTTACATTGTGGGTGGCTGTACCCATAATAGTCGACACCGTCAGGATGTGTTAAGCTACAATCCCGTGACCAGAGAATGGAATTACTTGGCCCCGATGATCACACCACGCTCACAAATGGGAATCACTATCCTCGATGGGTACATGTATGTCGTTGGCGGTACCAGTAAGAATCAAGAGGTCTTAACATCAGTTGAAAGATATTCTTTCGAGAAGGTAATTTATTTTTAGCTATCACGTATATTTAGTAAGTACAGTATACACGTTTTTTTCTGTATTAATGATAATAGATATTTACAAAACAATATAATTTAATATAATTTTCCTGATCAACAAATTTATTATGATGTTTCAGAACAAATGGAGCGCCGTTGCTTCCATGAGCATGGGCAGATTTTATCCGGCAGTTGCAGCGGCCGACAGTCGGCTTTATGTTATAGGCGGCGACCAGTCGCAAGAGATAAACTTCTACCGCACGCAAATCACAATCTCTACCGTCGAGTGTTACGATCCACACACGAATAAGTGGCACGAGTGCGCCTCTTTGCCGTCAAGCAGAGGCGAAGCAACGGCGATCGTTACACCTTTCTGATTGCTATTTCGCAAAGATCTGTTTGCCGTTTGACGTATTGGTCATGCCTTTTTACTTTTCCAACTTATTTTCTTTTTTTTGATGTCTGTATCTGCTATGTGTTGTTCATCTTTACCCAGAGCATTGGTATCTGTTAGCTAGATAGTCAGTCGCACTGCTAAAGGAATTGTAGCTTTATTAATTTCTAAATATTCCAACGGCATTTTCAAGATATTTATGTAGAAAAACGTGATATACTTTGAAAAATTGTATATTCTTATTGGAGAAAATTACTGTTATTTCTTATAGATACATGACGTAATCACTAACCGATAGGAACAGGTTGAAGAACCTAAAAAAAAGGGATCAGAGGAAAGAATGTAACGAATGAATCTTGATGTATCCAGGATGAAACAACCAAAATTTAAGAAACTCGATATACAATTCAATTTTATAATTGGATGAAGAGTTTCTCTCATATATATATATATATATATATACACAATTTAAGTTTTTAAAATTAAATATCTTTAATTCTAATCCTGAATTCGAGTCATATAGAATCTGAAGAACTTACAATCCGAATTGTGAAGCCAAATAAAAAATATAGTTCAATTAAAGTTTTCAGAATTTTAAAATTCACTAAAAATTCCAAGATTACGGAGAATTTATGATATATGTTATATTTTTTATTTTGTTGCGTGACGCAAATGAATTAGACAAAATGACCATTATTCGGAACTGTAGATCGGATCCAATGTATTTTTTCTATTATTAATTTATAATCAATTATAATATACAAATAGATTTGGAAAAAATCCTGAATATTGATAACGTACGGTGTGTAGAAATATTTGAATACTTTTATTAATTAACAAGTATTAACTATATTTTATTAATTACGAGTATTAAAATTATGTGCTAGGAAGGACTGAGCCTCTTGATATAATATAGTCATATACCAAAGTTATCGTAATTTTAATCGTACCGCTACAAGTTAACAGATCCGTTAAGCAATGTCTGTAAAGGACTGTATAAGATGAATCCAAAGATATTTATCCTTGGAGCATAAGGGTCTAAGTCTTCAAAAGTTGAAAAATTATAGAATCAAAGGGATTCCACAGTCTAAACACAAAATTGGAATATGCATAAACATTAGATCTTAAAATTCAAAGAATAAAAGTGTAAAATTAAATATTGCTTTAAAATTTTCAAATTGAGAGTCTAAAAAAATCAATCATCATTCAAAAATTGTAGATTGTAACCCAAGTCTAAATCTAAAGAACATAAGAGCACATCTCGAAATTCCATCAGAATCTTGGAGCCTTTAACCCTTGTTAACATTTTGGAACTATACAGCCAAAAATCCAGAGATTTCAAAGTACCTTATTGTAATGAAATAATGATGTTTCTTAATTAGCGTGTGTGCGGAGCAGCACGTCTAATGTTTTATAAAGTTTAAGGCCACATTTTATAAAAATAATCTAAGAATCGCGCGAAGAGTTGCCGCCGTTCTCTGTAATTAGTCGTCGCGGTCGATGTAACAATCCAATTCACCTTTATTTAAAGGTTGTTCGGTGCTACATACATGAACATCCGTGAAATGATATTCGATTGTTCTCAAATTTTTCAGTACAGGGTAAATATGGCGAGATGACCTTGTTAAACAATTTTATCAATCTTTTAATAAATAATTAAAATCTAATGTGGTGTAAATAATTAACTAAATTCTTGAACTTGTATCTCAAGTTTCTTTCTTCATTGTAAGATAAAAAGGAATATATAATAGATAACTGCTTAATCTCATTTTACGTATTTGTTTATATGTAAATTTGTAAATCCATAAGTTGCTAAATCTATTGGCCTAATATGTGTTATATAAATAAATACAAGAAACTTATTCATAACGTGTGCGGATTTTATATTTATGAAAATAATTGTGAATAGATTGTCTGTAAGTACAGGTATTTTAAAAGGTCTATATAATGACACATTTGTAATCTTACTTGATCCTATATTTCTACAAAGTGATATTGAACTGTTTCAAAAACAAAGATAATCAAACATTTGTAGGAAAAGAAGTTTATGATTTCTCTAAGAAAGTTTGTAGATGATATTTAAAACGTCCACGAATTTATGAATTTATTTAGACATGAATAGAAAAGTTTAATAATATATTAATGAATCCAGTGAATCTAGCAATCTATGAATTTACGATTTTATGTGGATGCGGTATATGATGTAGCACATATGTATAAATGCATAAAATTAAAATTTTGTACACGATTAGTTTTTATTTTTAAATATTATACTCTTCATTCTTTTAATCTATATTAAAAAAACTTTCAAGATAATTGAAACAATGGACATCTCCAACATATTTATCCCTTTTAAGTAAAAGTCATTAAAAGAAAGTTAGAGAATGTATAAAATGATAAATATACAACAATTTATGTATATTTGTGATCAATCAATAAAAACTACTAAAACAATTCGTGCCTATTTCTTTCATTTCAAAAATCCTTTTTAATGATAAGAAATCATTTATTTAGTTTCTACATGTGATTTATTTTCTTTATAATTAATGTGAGTTTCTTAACAAAGAACACAAGGAAATCATTATTTACAATATGATCTTTTTTTATTTGATGATATTTGTGCTCATCAGTCGAAAGCAATATTACGTTGTTGGTAAATAATATTAGTACTCATTATAGAAATAGTAACTCACGAAATCTAATGTGTCAAAAATTTCAAAAACATATTTAGACAAACTTATTTGTATTATTTTACTAATATACAAGTTATTATAAAAATTTGTTTTTATATTTCTGCTTTATCTCTCTTTGTCTCTTTTTTGTCCCTCATTATATTAAAAAACTAATTTTTAAAACAACTGTTCACACATACACACACAATTTCGTGAGTATCTACATCAAGTCATTGTATTATAAATAATATGCTATTTGATCAAATGATAGAAATAATAAATTGCATTAGTAAATTAAATTGCTCGAAGAGTGTCAATAATGAACTTTTCCATTAAATAGTTTTACAATTTAAATTAACAATTCAAAATTTAGAACAGTTTTTTAAACAAATTGAGATCCTGAAGACTTAGCATCCATAGTATCTAGAATTTGGAAAATCTAAGATCCCTAAAAGTCTCTAAACATTGATAAAAATCCCAGAGTACATGGAATTCAAAGCTGAAAAAATTTCAATTCCAATGAATCTAGAATTAAAAGGATTACGATCTAAAATAGCAGAATACAACCTGGCGTGTTTTCATTATGTGTCGACATTTCCATGCTTTCAATAGAACAATATCTACACATATCTTTAAGTTAAATGTAAGATAATACATCTTCTGCCTTTTTTACTAGACATTAGAAATGACGGCGTGACACACGTAGTTGTTCCAAACATATCCTGGAATATTAAACTTTTCTCATGCTCTAAATGCGAATTTCGTAGAAATTCAGAAAGAAAATTTCAAAATTCGTTCGAACTCATTTTTATAAACTCATCTTTATAACGATGAGTTTTTAATACGGATATTTATACTTATTGATATATAAGAACCTTAGAATTGTCTTATTGCTGCAAGTTCTCTATTACAATACATAATCCAATTCGTATCTAATATATTGGTTCTTTGGATCGTTCATGATACGAGGATAACCAGCCACGAGAGCATCCTGTCCGCCGATGTAAAGAGAATTGTATATCTTCCAATAAACGTCACGAACTTTACGAGCTGGATGGAACAAACCCTGTAATACACAAAAGCAAATGCATACATTTAATACTTGTTGATAGCTAGAAAATACGTGCGCTTACGCAATTAAAATAATCACGTACTTGTAGCGTATACTGCAAAATTTTGATCGGTCCAAGCGCAACGCGCAATCCGTCTACGGCATCCATAAACGCTTGGACTAAATGTGGCGAGGTTTCAAAAACGTTCGGCCATACGTGATTCAATAAATGTATTAACGCATCTTCGCAACCAAATCCGTAAACACCTAATGCCATGTGCTTAATTGCGGCACAGGCGGTCTGCCTGTGTACTAGATCTCTGATAAAACATGAAAGAAAAGAAAAAATTTATCAGAAATAATTTAATGATAGAAACTAAACAAACTTCTAAGTTTAATAGAAAAGTTTCTTTATAACAAAGAAAGAATAAAATATATAATCACAACAATATAAAATTAATGTAATATTTGAAGACCTTACCTGTCCATAAGTGCATCTTCTAACAATGGACTGACAGCGTAAATATAATCTTTACCCATCTCACCGATATATTCGAACAAGAATGATAAGGATTTCAATACTCCGTTTTGCACGTTTAGTTCGGGTACTCTGTATTCATTCATTAATGCAGGTAGCACTGTAAAAGGGCTGCAAGTCTCCGCAACGATGGCAATAGCAACTGTGGTACAAACACGATTCTGACGTTCCTGTACTTTCAAGTTGTTTAGAAGCGTTGCTAAGACATCGTGTGGTCTGTTCGAAAAAGATAAAAGAATATTGTACATAAATATTTATATATAAAAATATAAAAAACATATATATATAATTATTAATGAGACTTACCCAATAGCTTTGGCAATGTAGCCAAAAGTATTTACCGTCGCTCTTCTAATTGCTTTTTTATGAGCTTTCAGTAGTTCCAACAATTCGAAGCATATCCTCATCCATTCTCGAGCGGAAACATACTCGGGACCTCGATCTGCGATTCTGCCCACAAGATCAATACAATTTTCTTGTACCTACAACAATAACAAATTAAATTTAGCAGAGTATTAAAAGAATTCAAAAGAATTCCAAAGTATACGCCTTCAAGACGTGAATGAATTTTATAATATTTTAAGAGAATTTCATTTTATCTAGTAAATAATTTATATCAAATTGTGTACACAACCTGATATATATACACATTTCACCTTTTCATGTCTATTTTTTAAGATCGGTGTAAGCCTTGGTAACAAATCCTTAATGGGTGGCGTCATCTTCGTCATCCCTATAACGTTAACAATGGCTTTCAACGCTCCCAAAATGCTACCTAGGACTTCTGGATATTCCTCGCCTAAGTATTCATACAGAACGACTCCCAAATGTCCCATTAGTTTTTCCTAAAAATATCGCATATATCATACGTTTATATTAAATTTTATTTTTTATCTTATTAAATTTTTTATCTCTATATATTTATGTTATATTAATCGACAAATTAAAAAAATGCATTCCTTACCTCCTGACAAGTCTTCATAACTACTGCGATGCGCGAAATAAGATCTGCAGCTTGTTGTCTGACTTTTGCAGATTTGTTATTCAATCTCCACAATATTGTACCACATATTTGAGGAAGATATGCCTTTACTCTTTTACCCAATGTGTTCACGATAGTACCAAAACCATTCAACATAACGACGTCCTATAAATCAAACGTTCGAATTAGTTTATTAATTAAACTGATTTATTAATTAATTAGATCCAACAAACCTCAGTAGTTTGTTCCTGGAAAGCGTATAAAATTCCGTCAATAAGTTGCTCTTCTAGACGCGAATCGACATCCGCTGCTCCTAAGTTGCCCATTATCTTCTCAATTGTTTCCATCACCATTTTTCTATATTGTTCATTTTCATCCTTTAAATCATCCACTACTCTGTTAATAATCTCTGATGCACCCACTTTATTAGCTATTTCTACTGTTGTATCCACAAGCTGCAATTTCAATTTTATTATTATAATTTTTATATTATTTATAATTTTATATTTATTTTGTTACGTATATACATAATTAAAAATTTATTCCTGGATTATCAAAATATTTCCCCATTACCTGTCTGTAATTTCTGCGATCCAGTGCCATACGATGGTTCCAGAAATGTTTAAAGAAGTGAGGCAAGATTTCATCCTTTATGTATTGAGCTTCCACACCATCCGTCGCACAACATTGTTTAACTACCTATTTTTAAAAACCCAATTTATACAGAATGTTAGAAAAAATACTCAATGTAATATGATTAATTTATGAACTATAGTATTAGTATGATGATATTATATTTCTAACGGTAAATGAAACCTTACCTTCAATACAATTTTTTTCATTTCTTCATCGGGAGATTGGAATTCACGTATAAGAATTAACATTACTTCCCTAGTATAGTAATTTGCGTATTCTGCATCCATCAAAGGAATAAGATAACCAATAGCTTTTAGAAACGCTGCTAAACCTTTTCCTCTATGTGTACGAATGCCTTTCCACAGTGGTTTTAACACAGAATCGAAGCTTTCGATACCGTATGGTGTTGCTGCTTCGGCCAGCGCAGCAATGGCTAACGCAGTAATAGTTCGTACCTTTTGTTGCTCATCCACTAAACCTGTAATATTTCATGCCGTGTTTATTTTTCCAAAAAAGAAATAAATATAACTAAAATACAACATATAGAAACATAATAGACAAAATAATATTAACTTCATATTTACCATGCTCTATAATTTCCACCAAGCTCTTTAAATGTGGTAAAATAGCGCAACCCATCAAGATAGCTATTTGCTGTACGATCTTGATACCAGTATGTCGTGCTTGCCAAGACTTCTTGCTGCGACAAACGGCTTTTAAGAATGGAAGAAGTGAAGGAATTCCAAGGGCGGATGCAACAACCGCAAATGCTCTTGCTGTAGTGTTGCGCACGTATTCATCGATGTTATCAATATCTGGTCTCATTGTAGAAATCATTGTAGCCAATCCTGCAGCTTTTGCTAAATTAGAAATAATCTCTCTGCCTTCAACACGAGCATAGTAGTCTTCGTCAATCAGTAGAGGCTCGATAACAACTAAAATCTAAACAGACAGCAATTAAAATAAAAACGAAGTAAAACAAATACGATGTAAAATAGCAGATAATTGTTGACGCAAAAACAAAAATAATTACCTTATGTACATACGGTCGCACCAAATCGTCCAATTTATATAGAATACGATCAATCACTTTGACCAGTAAATGACGCTCCTGATCCTCAAGGGTAGGTGACATGAGAAGTGGAAGGATTTGATTGAATAACGGTCCAGCGCCGAATTCTCTTGCCTTATCAGTGATTTGTCTCAAAGCAGCTTTACGCATTGGAGGAGTTCCATTTTTTATCTTTAAAAGCAGTTTCATGATTTTTCTTTCTTTTTGCTCTTCAGGACTCAACGTTTCCTCGTCCACATCGACAAGCAGTTTATCGAAATATTGAGCATCTTCCGGCTTCATAAATGGCAAATTGCCCTTCGGTTGATTATCCACATATTTGGCGCTCTTGTCTTCTGTTTGAATGAAGAAACCCTGAGGTGTACCGGCGATAGGTGTAGGCGTTGCAGTGAGCTTTCTAGCGGGTGTGCGAATAGGTATATATCCTGAAAAAATCCAATTATGCATATATATTTCAATATCAAATATTCAATTTTCCTATTTCTTTCATAAAATAATTTCAATAATTGTTGTAAAGATTCTCTAAGATTTTTAGAAATTTTAGAAGCTTTTCAGTTTTTTACTTCTTTCAAAACCAAGAATTATATTTTCAAAATATTAAATAATACAGACAAAAATACTAGAAAAATATTGATTCTGTACTCTTATTTTACCTGCTGGAGGCTGTAAAATTTTATATCCAGGAGGAAATAGAGCGTCCAATTCATCATCAGACAAGGGTCTATTTCGTTCATCTATCTCGCGTTCCCAACGATATGCTTGCAGTTGTTCGGGCGTCATAGACATCAAATGTCCTGGGGTTGGAGTGGCCAAACCCATTGCCTTGGGTCCTGTCGGCGTGACGGCACTTGGAGTCAGTATTGTTGCCTGATGGGGCGTTGCAAGAGGTGTCGCCGGAGTTTGTGGTGTCATTGAGCCTGGTGTTTGATTCGATGGCGTTTCATCCCACCGACTTCGTCTTTTGCTTGCCGAAGGTGTCGGAGTTTCTTGTATCAAGTCCCCAGCAACTCGATCAGTTCTTGGAGTCTCTGCCCAACCGCTGTTGTGTCCAGGTGTTTCTAAAATAAAATTAATACATATTTATATTATTTTTGTGTTATGCATATATTTATATAATTATGTTGGATGTATTTATATTTTAAATTTCTTGATTATATGAAATTTGTACAATAAAAATTAGCACCGATATTCTCGTAATTATATTTGCAATTATTTTTATAGTTATTTGTAACAAAATAATACAATTCAATACCTCTCTCAGTTTTTGGAGTTTCATCCCAACGGTTTCTTCGACTTGTAACAGTCTTTTCATGAGAAGGTGTTTCTCTGCCTGGAGTCGCAGCTCCTGGCGTTGCATGTGCTGGTGTAGCATCCCACATTCTTGTACTGACTCCAGGAGTAGCTCCAGGAGTCTCTGCTCCTTTGCCATGGCCAGGAGTTTCGTCCCATCTAATAGCAGCTGGTGTTACCTATAAGAGTAATAAAAAAATGTTTATAACAAAAAAAATTAAATTTAGATGAATTTTCATATTAAAATATTATGTTAAATTAAGTGAATGTTTGCAAGTGTAATAAAATAGAAGAGAATAAGCATATGGGAAACAAAATCACTAAATGATAAAATTTATAAAACATAATAAATGTGTTCGAGAAGCGTGCTATTGCGTCATTCTATTTTTGTTTTTCTTTCATTTCTAATTAACAATAAAATGATATAGAGCTGAGAAATAGTGCACTCTTTGAATGCAACCAATCTCTCTCTCTCTCTCTCTCTCTCTCTCTCTCTCTCTCTCTCTCTCTCTTTCTCGATGTTTTCCTAAAGATATTTAAAATTTTAAATAACATGGCAAACATACATCTGCGTTATCCCAAGAAGTAGGTGTTGCTGAAGCACCAGATAATTTTTTCTGCACTGGAGTATCATCAGTTTGATCCCAACGACCTCTTTTTTTGGGAGCTGGTTTAGGTTCGCCGTTAGCTTTCAAAGTGCCATCCTTTGCTTTTTCTGCTAATCTTTTTCTCAGCTGTATAAAAATGCAAAAAAAAAAAAATATATTAAAACGCTTTTATCATTAAAAATATATTTAATGTATTTGTCTTTCAAATATATCTTATATTTTTTATGTGTATCTTATATTCAACAATATTAAAATTTAACATACCTCTGTCTCTTCACCTTTGAGCATCTGCTCCCGCATAATTTCAGTATATGTTCTGGAACCAATGTCGGGGGTTTTACCACCTGTAATTAAAAGAAATTGACTATAATTTTTAAATTAACAACTTGAATAAACGAAATATATGCACATATATAATTTTTTTGTCCAGCTAATTAATAGTTTTGTTTACTTCATCACTGCAGCTAATTTGAAATTCAAGTTACAAAAAATTATACCAACCTTCAGCAAAAGGATCAACACGTTCAGGAGAAATGATCATTCTACGTCTTTTCTGTCTATATTCATCCTCCCTATCAGCTATGGTAGGTCGTCGTCTATCCGCAAATGGATCATAATCCTTCTCTTCTCTATCAACTAAGGTGGGTAATCGTTTGTCCGCAAACGGATCATAATCCTATAAAAATCACAAGTTTATATTAACCTCAAGAATTTAATCCAACTACATAAATTTTACAAACTATATTTTATAATATAAACTATGATTAAAAAGAGAAATGAATAAAAAATGATATTATTAATAGTGAAATTTGTTAATTAAAAACTGAATATATTTCAAAATACATTATAATGATACCTCAATTTCATCATTTGTTGCAATTGATGTAACATAGCCATCAAATTTATTGTTGCTACTGTCATATATATCCTGATCATAGAAACCAGTTTTTCCCAAAGCAACTTGCTCCTTCTCGGATGCTGCACTCAACAGCTCCTTCTTCTTCGATTGTATCTCTCTTATCTGCGCCTCAATATCTGCAATACAGATTAATGCAAAAACATATTAAAATGTAGTAAAATGTAATAAGAGTAAAAATATGTAACCATAAGTAAAAATATATAAATTCAAGTAAGATAAGATGTCATAAGTGGTGTTATAATGAAATAAAAAAAAATGAAATAAAACATGTATGCAAAAATCACGACATGTGTGCGAATGGTGATGCAAAGTCTGATGCAAAGTCGCTTGTTCGATTGATCGTCCGGCAATTTAAATCGCTGATACTTCGTATCTCGAAAATGTTCGACGTTCAATCTAAGATGCAAAGAATGCTCCAAATATCACATTAATTGTAATAATAATAATTCACTAACAGTTATTGTTTATATACTGTTAAAAGTACAGTCGTTATCGGGTAGAGCAAAACGAGCGACACTCGTTTTCAGCTGATATTTATTCCAGTAAATTAAAGTTTGCGCGAACGTCGTAAATAACGAAGGTCAATAATAAGTAAAGAGGGATACCTTTATGCGTCCTCGGAATCGAGTCCATCGCGATAAAGTTTTCAGAAGCGACGGACACGAAGGCGAAACGCACCTGGACACGCCGAATTCAGCAAAACGTCAGATCACTGTTGATAAGATGACGCACTCAATCTGCTGACGCGCACGTGCTGCACTCAGTCGGCGGCTGAAGTTATTTAATTAGCAATTGCGCGGTAAAATTACGAATTCGCAATCATTAAATGTTTCTCTTATATTTTGAATATTTAACAGATTTTTAAATACTTTTATGTTGACAAATGAATTTAAAGCCTGCAATATTTAAATCCGATCTATAGATTCAAAATTCTAGAAACTTCAGCCGCTTTCTTTATTTTTAGTTTAAGGTACATTTTCACGTGCTGCTAATCTGCACCCTTAGGGCGAGTTCACACCTTGACGGAAAAGCAGCAGCCAGAACTCGCACTGGTAGCCGACAATTTCGGCTTTTTGTACTACTTACTACCAGCGTGAGTTGTGATTAGCCACTGCTTTTCCGCTTTCTGCTTTTCCGTCAAGGGGCTATGTTCCAAAATTGACTGCCAGTACTGAAAATCTATAGTGCGCGTAACGTAAACTGTAGCATTTTCTGTGCTGGCAGTAAATTTGGAACACAGCCAAGGTGTGAACGCGTCCTTACTCATTCCAACACGCTTGATAGAGTGAGTAAGAGCTATAGTAGGAGCATATTGGAACATGTTGGAGCATGCGACGCGAATAAACCTACAGTGAAACAAACTACGGCTGTCTCACTCTAACTTATTGCGGTGGTCACGTGTCGAACATCAATTAATTCCTAAAAATAAATATTCTCTACTTTAATTACACAAATTCTTGGCTTTACAAACACAAATTCATTGCTTTAAAAACACAAAATTACTGCCTTAAAAATACAAAAGCCTGCTTTAAAAACACAAATTCACTGCTATAAAAATAAAAATTCACTGTTTTAAGCACACAAATTCATTGCATTAGCAGTGAATTTGTATTTGTGAAATAGAGTTTGTGTAATATTAATGCAGAATATATGCATAGCGCTGAAGCGGGTGAAGATGATATATATCTTAACATCTAAAATATCAAATTTTAACGCTTAATATCTCGATTCACGAGGCCGACCATCGCATTTTTTTTTTGCCAGATTCTTTCATTTTCTTTCATTTCTTTCATTTTGCTACTAATCCTTCGTGCCAGATGGCGCCGCGGTGTCGCGTTCGACAATACGTGCAGGGAGTTTCCCATCTTGCTCGTCAGTCGTTCAACCCGTTCAATCTTCGCCCGCGTAAGCGCGAGAAATGTTGCGACGACTCGCAAAGTGCGCGAAATCGTGTCCACGTCCCGTCCGTGCCCGTCGCACACGATAATATCCGTCCTACCGTCGTACGCTTTGCTCGATCGGCTTGGTCGATCGTGTTATCGCGCGGAACGCTCATTTTCCCAGCCGCAATTTTCACACGCAACAGCGATGCACTGTGGGCCAGCAATGGTGGGCGCGTGATTTTGAACAATTCGAGCTATCGAAGGAACGCGCAGGTACGTGTTTGCCCGGTGACAAAATACGCGCGACGCCGAGCTCGTTGCACCGTCCCGGAACGTCGCTTGTCTGGGGATCCTGAGCAACGGACGGTATTCGCATCGTGATTCGTTCACGAAGCCTCGATTTCGCCGTTCGACTCCGCTCGGTTGCCCCCTTTTCCCTTCCCCTCCCGCTGCTGCTATCTACGAAAACTCCGTTTGAGGTTAGGATCCACGCCGTCTCAGCTGCGCGCCGTCGCTCGCGACGTCCTCCGCGACATCTCGTCCGTCGGCGTGCCCCGCGTCGGGCCCCGCGGACCCGTCGTGCTTGGCGCTCGAAAATCTGCCTCGCAAAAATGGCGCGTTCCGCCGAGAAATGGCGCTGATGTTCCACGACGACTTCGCGCTCCGCACTCTCGGTTTATTTTCATTTTTTTCCCTCCTCTCTCCGTCACTCTTTTTGCTTCCCTCTTCAGCGTGTTCGAATTCGTTTCCGCGTTCAGCGTGTTCGAATACACGCTCGCGTCAAACTTCACTCGGGTGAATGACCGTATCGACGTCCCGCGACTTTTCAAAAGCACGACCACGAAGAATTTAAATCACTCCCACACCATTTTGAAATCCTTAACCACGTTGGCAACGAGCGGCGTAATCGAGGTGATTATTAGCGTATAGATCTTGTGTTCGTATAAGTAAACAAAATCGCGCTCGTGATAGAACAATAAATATTTGGATTTCTTGTCAGGCGAGTGTGTGTAAATTTACGTGATTGTTATTTAGTCACGGCTTGATTAATTATATTTATCTGAATGGTATTCAGCATTTTTCATATCACAATAGATTGTCTTATTTTGAGGCCAATTTCTTCATAACAAGTTTCTAAATAATTTGAATATGTAAGTTTAAAATTTAATATTGTAAGTAACTTTATTAACTCGTACTTAGTTCATTTATTTATGAATGATCCTGTTTTTAATTTTAATATTGATCATATATCTATCTAATTATACATTTTGCTTTTGAAATACTTTACTTTTTAAGAACTTTTTTTGCAATCAAGACCATTATAATATTCATTATAATATCACTACGAAAAGAAAAAAGAAATAGTTTTATTTGCCGAAGTAATATTTTATAATGCAGTTATGTTTACATGTTATATGTAAATATATTTAGAAGAATTCCTAAATATATTTGCATATAACATGTAAACATAACTGCAGTACAAAGTATTACTTCGGCAAATAAAACTATTTCTTTTATTTGCATTGCAAACAGAATTGATGTCATATAAATAAAAATCTATATTTCTTACATTTAATTGTTATTGGACTGTAAACTTGCATTATGATCGGTATTCAGTTGATTATTATATTTGAAACTGTTTAAGTAATTTCAAGATGTCATAAGTCAATCAGAAGATTGTATTAACATTTTAAGACATTACTTAAGACATTAAGTTATTAAAATAAGAACAGACTATGAATATTTATCATTCCACGACACTGATATTTTTGCTCAGGTATCATCGTCATGTCCACTAATAATAATAAGGGACAAAACACAAGGGCTCTAGTAGAACCCTTGGCTCTGGATTCGCGCACACTGGGAGACAGCGATCTCAGCGCACTGAGTTTGTCTCACGGCAACGAGCAGTATCCGTCGAATGATTTTGAGGAGTTTGCAAATATTCAAGCAGAACTTGAATGCATAAACTCGGAGGGAGTTATGACAGATGAACGGATAGTAATCGATGAGAACGTTGAGACTGATACGACAGTACCTGATGTGGAGATGGCTGAAATTTCTGAGCAAGTGCAGACTGAGCACGTTTACACATTAGCCAATCCAAACAACCAGAATATTGTGTTTCAAACGAAGCCTACTGTGCAGAGAGTACCAGTGTCAGCAGTACAGGTAACATTTCCAATTGCAATTGAAACCACCACTCAAATGCCATGGTTTGTTTATAAAAACTTCTTCTTTAGGTAAAACCAAACATCTGTCCAACTACGCAAAGCCAGTCTATTATGATAGTGTCACCTGTGAGTGGACAGGGCACCAGCCAAATTTTAAAAATTTCACATCCACCATCAGCTTCGGCGGAACAGTTGCAATCTTTAGCACAGACTCTGATCACCGGAAAATCCGCGGATGGAAGCGTCGTTCAATTAAGGACACAACCCGCCAAGTCTGTCACAACTAGTGCCTCTGGGAATATCACGATCAATAACATGCAGAATGTTAAATTTTCGCAGCCAGCTACATTGAAACGGACAACACAGAATGTCTCGCAAGGGCGTAACGTAAGATATGATGCTCAGAATTCTTTGTAGAATTATATAATACATTTGAAATTCAATTAAAATATGAATTCTCGGATTGGGTACCCTTTATATTATATTTCTTTACTCAAAATTTTTTTACTTAAAATTTTCAATTTTTCAATCAACCTTGTATAAAATCGAAGCATACTATAAGAATCAAACTTGAGACTCATTGACCATTCTCACATGAAGCTATACATGCGTTATCCTCGTAAAATAATATATCAAATATTAAATTACAATATCTTTCATAGGTATACACGAAGATGATATTGACCGGAAACCAATCACAATCTGGTACTCAGCAAGTTCTCATCACGAGTTCACAAAGCGAAAATCAGCCGGCTCAAGGGATTAAATTTCTCAATAATACCTCTTCTAGTTATGTCAGTCCGACGAAAAATATAACGTTGGCACAGATGGGCACTATACTCTCTACCAACAAACAACATATTTTGCCAACATCTTCGCCAAAGCAGGTTTGTCTCGTGTTATGTGATACAAATTATTACAGATTATATGCACCTTGCGCGACAATAGTTATATATCCTTTTATCTTTTTGTAGAGTGTGATACTGAACAAGTTGCTACAGTCTTCGACATCTCAGCAATCAAAAGTGACCATAATACCAACAAATACTGTAAAATCACCTACAAAAATCCTTCCTGCGCCAACTCTGAGTATTCAAGCCAAGTCCTCAACGACGGCAAATCAACCGCCTACATTCATTACAGCCAAATCATCCACACAGCAAAATCCACAGAAAGTGATCATTAGACAGGTTGAAAGATTATGAATTATATTTAAATAATTCTTTTACATTTTGAAAATTATATTCATCTTTCGATAAATTATATACATCATAAAAATTCTTTCTTTAGGGTTCTTTGAAACCTAGCAATGTACTTGGAAGTGGACAAGTCATTAGAATACCTGCTAATCAGAACATTGTGACTGGATCAAATCAAGTTCATCAAATTCAGATGTCTGGAAGACAAGTATGTCTCATAATTTATTCCTAATTGATTAATTGTAACTATATATATATATATGTATACATGCATTATATTAATACAATTTCTTTCAGGTGCAATATGTGAGATTAGTTAGTACCCCTTCAACAGGATCTACCAACGTTGTTACTGTAGGAAAAACAAAGGCTAGCGCAACACTTCAGACTGTAGGTATCGGTCAGAAAATAGGAAATCAGCAACAGATTGTAAAGGTATATGAAAATTTAGTAACATCAATTTTTCATC